CATTATAGTTTCCTTTCTACGAGATTTGAATTCCATCTATGAAGTACCAGCGTTTATAGGATTTTATATTTATAAAATAGATACTGGCAATTATTATTGTTATGTACGCATACATGTATATCTTAGCATATGGATATGATGAGACTGAAAAATATTTCTGTATTTCAAGAATTATGTATTCTGCTAAATATATTTTTCAAAATATTTTATTTTCTGAACATGTGAGAGTTGGTATGTATTATCTATTTAAAATTGAGGTTAAATTAGAGTTCATTACCAGTGATGACAGGGTCCATGTTGGAATTCAACCGGACGGTTGGTGGCATTATAGATATATATTCCATACACTCTCAGTACTGGTTTTTAAGTGATGAAAGGGGTTTAAATTTGGATTAAGCAATATATTTTATAAAGTCTTAAAAATATTATATTCTGAATTGTGGCACAGCCAATAATTCTCTAAGCCCTTCTTGGTAAAAATAACTATAAGATATATAAACTATGAGTATGTCAGTTTTTCTTCTTCATATTTGTATTACTAATATAATTATGAATTGATCTGTAAATTAAAATATCTAAAAGTATCTCTCACGGTTTAGAACTGATAACAATTTAGGAGAAAAAACGTGTAAAAGGCCAGATAGAAATCGCTACAGCCGCAGTACATTATTCATAATTTTGTGGGTCACAGGTTCGAATTCTGGTCAAGTTGCAGGTTTTTCTCATCCTGTTAATGCATATAACCAAGAGTTCAATTTACTTTGCTCTGTAAACATCTATAATTCGAGAACAAATATCAATATGTTTGGGGAATTATGTTATGGTTTAGAACTGTTCATTGTTTAAAAGATATTGGTTGGCCAGTCGAATTACTCAGTTGGTAGAGCTGCGGTAGGTCTTCTGAAGGTCAAGGATTCGTTAAATAGTCAGGCAGTTTCAGTCAGAGATTAAATCATTTTTTTAAACTGACACATGTTTGATTGGTTTAACAGATTGTATTAAATTTAAAATGGACAAAGGCAGTATAGTTGGCATGATACTAAAATATTTACAAAAGGCATTTGATACAGTTGATCACACCATACTACACATGCAGTTTCAAGCATCTACCATAGGTAATGACATTTTTACATGCTTCAAGTCTTATCTCTGATAGACTGCTCGAATACATATGGTGTTCTTTTTTTCTAATATTTGTCAACGACATGTCTGCAATATTAAAATATAAACATTTGTTACATGCTGATGACTCAAGAATCCTTGTATTTGGTAAAAAAGGTCTGAAGAAATCTCCCTGAAGGCATGAGTCTTATAAGTGATTGGTTAATTGAATAAAAATCGTCTATAAATCTTGGCAAGACAGTGTCTCATTTTTTGGGTCCATTTTAAACTAAAACGGGTTCTCAAAAGGGTTTTCAACCTCCACGTCACATGTAATGGTACTGCTATATGTCCACATCTTCTGTTAAGTAATTAGGCACAAGTCTTGATCGAACATATTTTGGGTCGCCTTCAGTACTTTTCTTGTATTTTATTGGTACTGTAATAAGAAATGCATGGCATTTCTTTTAAGCTATGTCAACGTTTTAAGATAACAACTTCCCAGCGTCGGATTTCAAATAACTACCTACCTTGTCCGTTTCCAAAATTTGGCATAAAACGGTAAAAACATTTAAAACATGAGAGCTATGATGCCCTGTATCTTTTTCCAGATTTTTTCTTGTTCTTTAGGGCCTGACGAATCAAATTACTTGGTCAACTTTGAATCATTTCTATTTCATTCAATATCAAAAATTAACGAAAAGATTAGAAATAAACGAAAAGATTAAAAATAAGTCAGAATGATTTTCTATATACATATACAAAGATAGGATTCAGTCAGGTGTATATTTTATTAATTACAATAATTATCTGTCATAGAAGATCGTCATTTAAGGAACAAACATTTATTTTAAATTAATATATACAATAAACGTCTTTTAGTTTTGGTAGAGTATCTCTCAACAATCATTTCTATTTGACCAACAGTTTTTTTATATAAAGAAATTCAATGAGTTAGAGAATTGAGAAAAATCTTGAGACAAGTTTGACAGTTTGAGGTATTGTCGCATAAATTTTGAAATTATACATATAATGCAATAATTTTCAGGATGCTAACTTGATTAAATTATAAATACAATCTGCTTAAAATATAGGCAACCAGAATCCGTAAAGAAAACCAAACGCGGCAAAATTTCCAGAGAATTGATAGTTCTCATTCGACAAATACAGAAATTACAGTTCCAGCAAAATTCTTTATATTTTCCAATCACCCCTCAGACAAATGTTTTCTAGATTCAAGTCAAATAATTCTTAACCCATTCAGACAAAACAGTTATCTATATGCATAAATTGACAAGACAATTCTTTACAGACATTTTTGACATTTTACAACATTTTTAATATGTATTTTAGAGATTTTTGTAAAGTTTTTATTAGAAATACCAAAATTGAGTATAAATATTTTATTAATTTGCTGACACTGTCGTTGTTTGTTACGTAAACAAATTCAATCTGGATCGATAGCAAAACGAGATTTTCGAATTTCTTTGTTTTTTTGGTTTCATTCCTGGATCATTTATACTGGTGCTATTGCCCTTGACTCATTTAAGCCATTCCTTAAGGTTGTATTAAAATGTGTACATTGAGTGCTTGAGTTAAAATTAACCAAATTAACAGGAATGATGATCAACATCACTGTGAAGCTGATTACCTAGGGTTTTGCAAGTGGATTTTTTTTCTTTCTTTTTTTCTTTTTTTTAGAGAGAGATATTGCCCTAGATTAAGTATATCTTGTACACTTGTTCATGCATAGCTCAAAAAGAATTGACCTGTAGTCCTGAAAATAATACAAGAATGTTGGTCAGCATTTGTAATTACGCACCTTGAGGTTTGCTTGTTGATTTACAAGCTTACCTGAGCTTAAGTTGAGCTTTTAGGATCGTTGAATGTCCGTCGTCTGTCGTTTGTCGTCCGTCCACAATTGTTCGTTAACACTCTAATTTTGTCAGGATGCTTATCTAGATAATAGATCGGATGAGTTCGAACATGGGTCATCGGATGAACAACTAGGTCACATGAGCTTAAAATGGAAAAACCTTGTTAACACTCTAGTGGTCACATTTTTGACTCAATCATCATTAAACTTGGTCATAATGCTTGTCTAGGTAATTGCTCGGATGCGTTTGAACATGGGTCATCTCGGATGAAAAACTAGGCCACAGTAGCTAAATATAGAACAACCTTGCTAACACTTTAACGGTCACATTTTTGACTCAATTATCAATAAATTTGGTTAGGATGCTTGTCTAAGTAATTGCTCGGATCAGTTAAAAATAGAATAATCTTGTTAACACTCTAGTGGCTACTGTTTTAATCCAAATATTCTGGAAATTGGTTTGAAAGTTTGTTTTGATGATTTTAGGTCAAGTTTAAATATGGGTTGCCTGGAGTCAAAAACTAGGTCACACCGCCCAAATCTGGAAAAGCCTTGTTAACACTCTAGTTGGCATATGTTTGACTCAATTATCATTAAACTTAGTCAAGATGCTTGTCTAGGTAATTGCTCGGATGAGTTCGAACATGGGTCATCATCTCGAATGAAAAACTAGGCCACATGAGCTTAAAATAGAAAAATCTTGTTAACACTCTAGTGGCCACTGTTTGATCCAAATATCTGGAAATGTGTCCGAAAGTTTGTTTAAATGATTTCTAGGTCAAATTCGAATGTGGGTCACCAGGTGTCAAAAACTAGGTCACACTGCCTAAATATGGATAATCCTTGTTAACACTCTGTGGTCACATTTTGACTCACCTGTTATGAAACTTGGTCAGAATGCTTGTCGAGGTAAATGTTCGGATGAGTTCGATGGGTTAGGTGAGCGATCTAGGGCGATCTTCTCCCTCTTGTTCAGTATTTGTAGAGATTTTGTCATTGACTTAGTAAAAGTATTCAGCTTTCAACTTATGTCACATGTAGCCCAAAACATTTCAGTAGATTGACAAAGCAGTGGAATGTGGGGGTGTTGCTTTTCAAAACCGACAACAAAGATTTACAGTTTCCCTATCAAAAACAAAATGTCGAATTGACGTAAACAAAGAAATATATGTTGCATATCTATATTTATCAATGAATGTTTGTACTGAACATTACTTAAAGTTGTATAGATTTTAGTCATAAACGGAACACTGGCTATTTGTATTCCAATGTCCTCCCTTGAAAACAAAAAAAAGAATGTTAAGATATTTCAATAGTTCCATAGATTTCTTTTGTGAATGTGCAAATGAATGTGTCACGGGGATATTGCAGTTTTTAATTCTCCCTCGTGTACAAATCTATCAAACCGAGTCGGTAATTTTGATGCAATTTGATGTGGTTCTTGCTTCTGAGGTATCACTCTTTCGTCTGATAACAGACACAATGCATGAAAAACTAAAATTACAAAATTCCGGTTGGGGGTTGGTACATCATGGGAGGGATGTTACAGGAAGGATTAAGTTCGTATGATTACTTGTCAGGAGTTCTTCTAATTACTGTCACGGAGTTCCTGTAAAGATGTAAATATTCATTTTTGATGAGTGTTTCTTCGGTATATACAAAAGTTTTCCGACAAAATCCGAAACGTTTTGCAGGAACGGTTTTCAGAAAAACTCCTGACAAGTTATCATAAGTACTACATCCTTCAGTTCCTCTCCCGTGGTACACCACGTATTATAAATGGTATAATATCTTCATATTATTATTATATTCTAACAGGATCCACAATATTCATTTTTAACATAAACATATTAACAAGAAACTTTTTATCTATTTAACTACCATTTTGCTGTGGAAGGGATAAACCTTACAGTACATAAGTTGTAAATTTAATTAATCAATGTTCATTCCTTACATCAATATAAAACTTCAAATTATGCACGCATTATACTTTTCATCACAATATTTTTCGTCAACTTTCTAGGTGAAGACGATGTAGTATTAGATCCCTTTCTCTGTTCAAAGAGTCTAAAAGGCATTACAGAATTAATTGAATCGGGGAAGCTGCCAAGCCAAGAAATACTTAATGAGATGTGTCAGATTTTTGAGAAGAAATCCCAAGAAATAATTATCACATGCGAGGCAATTTGTAAACATATAAAATCGAAACATGCCGCTATTGCAAATGTATGGGCTGCTTATACAATTCAAAACCCGCATCAAATAATTTTTGTAGTAATAGTTGAACACAAATCAGAAGGTGACAGTAGTACAGAGCCTCTAAGTTTAGATAAATTGATTACATATTCATTCGTCAGCCAACAAGTTGGTGAATTCAACTCAGAAGGCCCTGAAGTACTTAGGCAAGAGACTTCAGCTTCTAAAGGATTAGATGAAGAGTCCTATCAAAAACTTCAGAGCTGCATTTCAAAACACTCTGAAGATTTGATGAAAAGACACAAGTATCTTTCAATTATATCTGCATGCCCAAATAGATCAAGAGGATTTGGCGTTTCCTGGAATTTACTACCTGAAAAGTGTATTGTCCTTTACGTCCAGAAAAAGAAATACATTCCAATTGATGAAGAACCATTTAAAACAAATTATGACGGCATTCCAGTTGATGTTAGAGAAGGTGCCTTTATTCCATTCGGACGTACTGCCAAAGACCTGCTTGATCCTGTTAAAATGGGAAGCCAAATAGGTGGAGATATTTATAAAGGAACTCTTGGGTTTTTCATAGATCATCCTCAATTTGGAATATGTGGACTTACATGTGCTCATGTTCTTTTAACACGATGGGAGATGATTGAACTGAAAACAAATCATAGCGGTACGTTGAAATGGCCATTACATAGAATGTGCAAAAATGTTTATCAGCCTGCTGACAAACAGTCTGTATTAGGACACACAGTTCAAGTAATTTACAAAGAAGGTTCAGACGAAAATTGTGGAATGGAATTAGCTTTGTTCAGAATCACGGACAGACATCCCAAATCTCCAAGTTTCCCCGATGTGACAGGTAAAATCAGTTGTCCATGTACGTTCTTGACTGTAATTATTGTTTCTTAAACTAATTTGCATAGTTTTGTTTATCAATATTTATATTTCTATACTAATAATTTGTTGAATGTGGCGGATGAATAAATGCCTTCATATAGCAGTTTCGTCTTTATGTTTTGGATTGAAATCACTTTCCAGTTTTGGCGTTGGCGGTAACACCGTCAATGAACAAGCTGAATTGAGCCTACAACATTTTCAATTTTGTCGGGTTTTTTTTGCCTTCTTTATATGATTCCGTTATTCTCTATTGTAAGAAAATAAACCATCTAATTTTACTACTTTTCTACGTTTGCATGATTGAAATTGACTGAAATTTAATAATGGAATGTTAGAAGCAAATTATTTGTATAATACGTAAAATATGCGTGAATTATGATTTTATAAAATATATGACCTCAAATTTTAATTCAAAGTCGTATCAGTTCTACTTATTATTCACTGTAAACTTATGAACACATTTTTAATAACTATCAAATTGTTGTTGGCTTCTTTTCGCAGGATCAAATGCTGCTACAAGTATTATATACGACAGTTGGCGAATGTGTAGCACCGACAGACTGAATAAGAAGGAGGATGCTCACGTCATAAAATTTGGATCAAAAACCGAATTAAGTCATGGGATAATAAAATTTGATACTACCTCAGTTAAATCATTAGATGCATATCCACTTTTTCATGAATATGCACCGATTAAACTTTTTAAGCAAATTGAAGTTAAAGCTCTTTCAAATGGCATTCCTTTTGCTGAAGAGGGCGATTCAGGTGCGCCTGTGTTCGTTGTCGAGAAAAATTCACAAAATAAATGTATAGGTATTATAGAGGGAGGAACAACATACGGGACAGTAGTCGTCACACCTATCGTTCCTATTTTAGCAGAACTAGATGTACCTTGCTTAAAAAGTTTTGACACTGAAAAAGAATTGTCAAATATTCAAAATAAAATAGATAATTTAGAAACACAGATGAAAAAAATTGGTAGTGACATACAGACGATAAAACAAATTCTGTTGAAACCGCCTCAAAATTTTGATTCATCAATGCCTAACTCACCAAATGATCAACAAGGTCATGCTTGAATTAAAAGGATAATAAAAATTAGGTTAGTTACAATGAACATCAATAAGGAAATCGAAAAATGTGTAGTTTTAAATCTGTATAAGAAATCGTTTTTGTCAAAGAAAAATTTGAAAAATGCCTAATAGGGTCATAGATGGCTGAAAAATCGCAGTCACTTTGACTCCGCTTCTCGTATTTTGCAGGAGCTTTATTTTGAGACATTTTAAATGTGATTGGCCATTTGAAACATTTGTTTTTTTCCTTAAGATGATATAACATTTAATTATGGTCTCAGTAATATCAAGCTATTAATATTCTCTGATACTTATAATTTGCATTTGCAAAAAAAGCTATAGCAAAGTTTGTGCCTGTTTCGTATTTTTTACAATTTTCAAATAATTTCATTTATTTAATTTCAGTTATAGAAAGCATCTTACCTTAAATCCATGATTCTTGTTTCACTTTTAGCTCCCTGGGCTTAAGCTCACCAGTTCAAATCAAACAAAACATTGTTAACATTCTAGAGTCACATTTTATTTCAACAAACTTTGTCAGAATGAATGATGATCTTATTGATATCTTTTGAAGATGTGTTATCTCGGGTCAAAAACTAAGGGATCAGTTTAAATAATGAACAAAATTTTAATATGTGTTATTTTGGCTTTCGAGTGATACATGTGGATATTATAGCTGACAAGATTTTATATCTGCCGAGCCGATACATATATAATTATTTTGTAAGAATGAATTAGTTAATATAAAGTTAACTTAAGCAATTTTATTCAGATGGGCATATAAGGGACATTATGGTAGTCTTGTATCTATTATTTTTTATCGTTTATATGTTAATGTTGTATATTTAAACATCGTTTGATCATTACGATTGTATATTCTGTGTATATTTTGAGTTAAATATAAAACATGTGACCGTAGAACGGGTATTTTCGTCACATTCAGCTTTATGAATTTATTTTTATATTTTGTAATTTGATAAATTTATTCGTACTTATTTCTCTACTCAGAACTATTAAAAAGCTCGCCTAGCTCATGCACAATTCGAGTCTTTTTCAATTCTAAAATAATGTTTCGTAGAAAAACTAAATTTTATAAATTTAGAAAAGAAAAATGGAGTAAAAATAAATAATATGCTTAAAGGGACTCCACTGAGGTTTAAAAGCCTAAAAACATAACATTTTAATTTATTACATAAATGAGCAGGGGCACTTTAAACAGAAATGTATGCAAAGATAGTTAAGAAATATACTTTGAAATAAATTGAAAATCGTGTTGTTATGCTTTTCTTAGTTCGATTTGAGTGAAAAGCGTTTAAACGCTTTTCATTTTGGGTCATTTTTTTACAATTTGAATAGTCATTCTGGAAAAACGAAATGCCCGAATGATCTGAAATTTTGCTTAAAGATTAGTGGTCTTGACCTACATCAAATGGTACATTTATCTGTACAAATATTATCAGTCCCATCATGTCAAAAAACCTCAGTGGAGTCCCTTTAAGCCAGTTTTCCTGTGTTACATTGTTCAACTTTTGAATAGCCCATGTTTTATGAGATGAGAATGTGACATTCTTTTACGAATAAGTAGTGACGTACTTTGTTTACATTATGCTGTCACAGCTGCACACTTGTATTTTACTGTTATAATTGTTAATATAAGTGTCCATTGTATGTAAGAACATTTATTGTATATAGAATGTGTAATCAAATTTTGATAAAACATGTGTTTTTATGTAATGTAATCATGTCATTGTGTATGTATTGTCATATTTCTAAAAGTTGTAATCATTAATTACTATATTTGTTATATAAATATAAGATATATGTGAGAAACGTTGACTTAACTAATTTCTATTAGACAATTATTGCTTAATACTCAGAAATGTAATAGTTTGTTTACTTAGCGAATTTAATATGCACTTCTAAAAGACGTATGCAACAGTGACGTACAGACATATGGCAGATGATATCTAATATTCTAACACAACCTTCAATATTCCCCTATTGAACATAGGACCGAAAGTGTCTGTAAATACTGTTCACGATATGATATATTTTTTGCCAGTAAAAGTGCGACACGCTAAAAATATTAACGAAAACAAATCAGACACCATATAGCTTGCTATTAGGTACGACAACATTTACTTGTTGTGTCGAGTTAGAATCGAAATAATATACCCAAGTAGTGAATTTATCGCTTAGCAAAAATCACTCTTGTCTTTCGGATGAGCAGAATTTTTCAGTAGGGTTACGCGCTCTTGAGTTATTCTCTCGCATGCGAATTCCAAACAGTTAATATATGATCAAAGCACTGTTGGTGATATTTTATTTCTGAAATATAATAAATATCTTGAAATGGGGACACCGGCCTTGTTTTCCAGTAACCCTCTCCTCATTTCTTTTTTTCTATTTTGAATTTTTATTTTTTATTTTACATTTTTGATTTTCTGATTTAACTTAAAGACAAATTACTAATACATATATCTGTTACACCTTATTATGTTTTCAATTTTTATCCTCGATTATTAAAAAAACATGGATTTTAATTCAGCAATTGTGTTTAATTAATTCATTATAGATATGGATATTGAACATTCTTTGAAAAAAAAGACATTTTTATGAAAATGTACATACGTTTAAGTAAAGTTGACAAAAATAAACTACGTTTGAATAATTCTTGTAATTATACACACTCATTCAAAATGACTTTAGCTATGTTATAAGCAGAAAATGTATGGTCATCTTAAACGAGGTTGTGAAATTGTCTGCCCTTGAACAATTTTAAATTAACTCAAAAATATGGTCGGTGTTTCCAAGTGCATTACGCTTAAAATATGAAGAATTTGAATTATATTATAAAGTTTTTATAATCGACAATATGTCGCTTTCAAACTTTTTTAACATGTGTATCAATTGAAAACAGAGTGTGACAATTTGATATATATTAGATGTGTGATGTTCTTATTTGTTTATTATCATAAACAACTATTTAACATAATAAACAATCAGGATTTCGAAAGAATCATTCATGCAATACGGCCCTTATTCGTTTGATAGACTTTTGTTGATAGTGGCAAATATATAGGTTCAGTATTTTTAGACCTGCAAAAGGCGTTTGATTTGGTTGACCATAAAAAACTTTTAACTTTATCACTTCTCTGTCACATCATTAAATCTGTTTCATTCGTAACTGTCTAATCGTATGCAAATAATTCAAATAAGAGACTTAAAATCTGACGTACAATATGTTACCTCTGGCGTTCCACAAGGCTCAATATTAGGTCCTTTACTGGTTCTTCTTTATATAAATGATCTCCCAAATATTTGCGAGGATGTTAACATAGATTTATATGCTGATGATTCCACGTTGCATAAATCTGGAGATGACATATCAGTTATAGAGAGAAAAAATATTAAAATATAGCCTTAATATGATTATTAAGTGGTGTAAAATAAATGATATGTTTTACACCCTAAAACATCTAAAAGTATGCTAGTAGGTAGTAGACAAAAGCTAAAGATTGCAAAAGCATTAAATTTGAAAATTAACGACTCAACTCTTGACAATGTAGAATCACAAAAACTGCTTGGTATTTATGTTGAAAATACACTCAATTGGCACTGTCAGGTAAATGATGTGTAAAAAATTGTACTCTAAAGTTAATGTATTGTTTGTACTTTTTAAATAAGGAATCTTGCATGCTTTTTATAATGCATACCTTCTTCCTATTTTTGATTATTGTTGTAATATATGGGGGAAAGGAAACAAAAATATATATGCCAAATATATAAAATACAAACCCGAATTTGCAAAATTATTCTAGACCTTCCTATTAGAAAACGATCAAAACATTTTTACAAAAGATTAAAAATATTGCCTTCAAAGAAAAGATGTATTTTTACACCGGTGTCCTAGTATATAAAGCACTGAATAATATGCCCCCTCAATATATCCGAGACTTACTTACCATATCAAATAATCAAAAGTATAATCTAACATCGATATCTCACCGAAATTTAATTTCGTCTTACAAACCACGTACTAATTATTTTAATGATACATTCCAATTTAATGCCATGGTTATTTGGAATTCCATACCGCTTACTATAAGAAGAAAAACACAATTGTCAATATTTAAGAATAGTTTCAAGAAATACTTATTTAATCAACTTAAGCACGGTCCGTGTGTATTATATATACAAGATAAATAAGCTCATTAAATTCATACATGTGTTTTTTATTATTATGTTTTTTAATAATGGGTGTCAGTCTTAGTTTTTAGTTTTAAGTTTTTGATTCTTAAGTGTTAATTCTGTAAGTTATTTTTACATTTTGAACTGCAGATTAAAATGAACACTGAGGATTGTAATATGTTTAATAATAAATAAAATTATTATTATATTATATGAATGTTAAGTATATGTGTTAAGATATATGTTAAAATTGTGATAACCATTTAATCATTTCTTTTTCATGTAATATTTTCTTTGATTGATATGTGTTCTTTAGTGTGTGTGTTTTTATTTATTTATTTTTATTTTAGAAGGCCGCATTGTAAATAAGATGTTGCAATCTATATATGTCTTAATGTGTTACCTTTGGTAAATAAAGTAATTATCATTATTATTATTATTAGTAGTAGTAGTAGTAGTATTATAGAATATATGAAAGGAAGTAATTTTTGACTGACATTAAAATTCCAGTTATTATATAAGGATTGTCACATATTAAATGTCACATGATCGCGCATTTTGATTAAATTTCAATACACATTATTTTTTCTACAACCTTGTCCGCCATGCTGCTTTGAAAAGAATTGGAAATTTTTTATTGACTAATTCAATGCTCGTGACGTATTGGTGACAGTAAGAACAAGGAGTTTAAGTTGCATAATTCAGAGACATAAATTGTCAACAAATAGCATATTCAGTTAGAATACATTGGTTTAGCCTGCTTGGAATACTTTCTTACGAATGGCAAATAGCTAAATACATGTTTACTCGTGATGGATTTTGGAAATTTCGTTGGCACAAAACATGTTGACCTCGCAATTTTTAGGAAAATTTTCACGTTTGAAAATTCATTTATCGTAAATAAGGATCATCATAGATGACTCAATATTTTAATAGTTACTGAAAGATATATCTACTGCGCTATGTATGCAGGTTTAAGTATAATAATATGTCTTATTTCTTTTAAAAATAAATGCGAGAGCAAAATGTTGACCGTGTCAGGGCAATACGCTACGGCGAGTTATTTGTATATATTTTATATAGTAAACGTGTGGTAGAAATTAATGTTGTTATAATTGATCAAACAATAGGAATGCCACACATAATATATTTATTAACAAAATTATACATGTGAATGTTAGTGGTTAAATCTATTGTTATTTACAAAAAGGTCAGAGCAGAGAGATCTTTCACAGTAGCATATGTTAGTTGCTTGTTTGGCTTTTTGACTTCCATATATGATATGTCCTAAAGCAGAGTTGAATAATTTAAATTGTTTTATGTTTTCAACAAGTACAGTTTATTTTGCTCATTTTGAGTAGCATTTTGTCATTTACATTGACAATCCAAATACGGTCATCATTTGCACGTGCGCGTTTGTGGAATTGTTCATCGTCTTTATGCATATCTGTTCCTATCAAAAACACTATGTCAAATAGTTTTTTCTATACAGAAAATGGCGTTATGCCGAATCAATAAAAAATAAATTGAAAAATAATTGAATAATAATTCAGTAGATCAACAAGATAAGCGGACAAAAACAGACATTGTGCAAATGTTTTCTTAAAAAGGATAATTCCTTTCATTGTATCTTTACATCGATATTAACATTTAGTGATGTCATTTATTTTTGTATTCATATCAAAATAAAGGAGTGAATGTTATCATATTTTAGTGATTGTGTTATTATTTAATGATTAATAGAAGTTTTGTATTGTATCATATGACTTGGTTTTCATGTGTATATATGTATGTTTAGTTATTTTTATAGCCATAATCATAGAATGTGTGAGAGAGTGTGATTTTTACTGACATTACAATGTATGGATATAATAGGTAGATCCCTAAGTGTGTCTAACATATCTTAATCAAATCAGATTATTGAATATCAATAAGAATATCACAACAATCTATTTGTTAACAAAAGGGCACATGTCAATGTTATATTAGTACAATCTATTTATATTCAAATGAAATGTTAGAGATTTATCAAGTTAGCATGTGTTAGTTGCTTTTGACTGCCTGAATAAAAGTTTAATCATTTTTGGTAGTGCGTTTTCCTTGTACCAAGTACAGTATATTGTGCACTGTTTCAACAGTATCTTGTCTAATTCAAGTTATTTGAAGCCCAAATGGGTCATCACTTAAAAGTGTGCACAGCAATGCGACGTTTGTGGTAATTCTTTCTATGTGCATAACTGACAGCCCTATTACAGAACTGTTCCTCTTCGATAACACTATACCAAATGATATTTTCTATATAATTGACTAATTCATAGAACAATCAATAAAAATATTTCAGAAGTTCTACAGGCTCTTTATTAGCCGACAAAGAAAGATGCATGCCCTACAAAGTGTCACAAATATATCATCTTGTAAATGAAATTCATTTTTAATCTCGGTATTTCAAAGTTTAAAAAGTGTGCCACAGTCGGTTTCTGTTTAACTAAATAGCAGACTTCTACTACATGTATCTGGATAAAGTCAACTAAATGAGATTGTAAATGAAATCCAAGCAATGCAATAAAAAGTTTTGTCAAGTGAATAAATCACCATCGATGTTCCCAAATGTTTATACGCATGAACAAATACATGTATGCCAAGCCATATGCAGTTATGTACGGAATAACCTATAAAAGTTACTTGTATCTTAAACTTTGTCATCGGAGTGAAATAAGCCAGTGTTGACTTCTCCTATACAGTTTTCTATACACGCTCTGGTCTGGTGCCGGCTTGCCGTGGCGTATTTCGTTAGAATTTTACTGAAGCAATAGAAAGCAACCTAAAACTCAAAATCTATCCGAATTTTGACCGAGGCTCGGGTCGCCCTTATTACAAGATTAACCTGTCTAAGCTGGACTCAACATTTTTATTGGGCCAATCAACAGAGACTAAAATCCTTTAATTTTGACGCAATTTAAAAGCAGCAAGAATTGCCTTAAGCGCAATGTATGATCATGCAAAAATATAAAGATGTTAGTTTTCATGCTTCCTTTTAATCAATTATATTTACGCTGACGTTTAATTCACCTGTCTACTCTAAAGTAAATTTTCGTTTGGTCATTTAACATATTAAATATTCATCTGATTGTTCGTATTTTTTATATAAGATTTCGGGTCATTTTATCCTTTCTGGTATTGAGTGAATCACTCTCCGATGTGGACGTTCCCGCGGGGTTTTTTTTTCGCGAATAAGGTCAGACTCTCATATTAGACTTACATCATGAGAAATGGTCCATAATTCTACCTTAAAATTGAGCTATTATGCTTAAGAGGTGACACATATAAATGATCTTGTTATAATGAGGTAGCCTACAAATTTTCTTTGCAAAATGACTTCAAAGAGAATATAAATGTATTCTTGTGGGGCGTTTGTGCCCGAGTGGATAAGGTCATTGACTTCAAATCACTTACCCGTTATCACTGTAGGTTCGAATCCCGAAGGGGACTTTGAATTCTACATGTGAGGAAGCTATCTAGCTAGCTTGCGGATGTCGGTGGTTATACTCAAGTTCTGAAATAATGTACGGAAAGGCATCTGAGATCTTCCTCTACTAGTAAAGCTGGGACGTCGCCATATGACCTATACTGTGTTGGTGTGATGTGAAACACAATCAAACAAACAAACATGTTTATTTTGAAGTGTCAAATCTTTTGTAACACCGAATATTTAGGTTGACATATAAAACCTAGCATAGGGACACTACATGTTATATCTCCATTTATTAAATTCCAATTATCAATAGACATAGTGGAAAATGAGTTTTGTCGTATTGACTTGTTGATTCTTCAGGTTTCTGTATCTTGCAGATGTGTTCCCAGGTCACATTATCTTTAAAAATGAAAACTTGTCTGGCTCAATGCCATTAATACTGTTCTATAAGTTTTTATAAGGTCATATTTGTCACTTTCATACTGTGGTGTTGATAGGTTTTAGTACCATGAGACGGTCTTCATAACTAAAACCATTCAATTCTTGTGACATCCTTGTCGCCTTTCGTTTTATTTTTGAGTACGTTGCATTGACTGTTTTTTATGTAGCTGAGATGTGATTTATACAGACACAATAAAGAGTTAACAGATGATTTATTAACAAGTTATTTTTTCAAAATATTTTCAAAAAAGTACACTTAAATTTTTTTTCTAAGGTTGCTGTGGATTGGGCAGGGTTTAGGTAATATTATGGTTATCGGTCATGATATAAATAGGTTGCTAATCTAAATATATTTTGAACTATTTAACATTTAGGAGTATAAACTTTTATAAGTCAGACGTAACTCCCGACACCAAATGTATTTGAAACTTCTTGAAAGTATCCTGGTCTGTAAGAAACTTTATTTCACGACAAGTCGTACAATCATTAGCAAATATTCCATAAACGATTGTAATTTGTCTGGTATATTATTTATATGATAAAACATATGATGAAGAGGACAAACTACAATATTGAGCCCTGAGGGACTCTTCCTGTGTTTACACATAAAACACTATACACTGTTCACATCCACTTAAAATGTTTTCTATCCAGGAGAGAACAGTTCTTGTATACCGCAGAATTTTAGTTTTAATAATATATATTTTTTTTTGCATTGACGTGTAAGCAAAACAAACTTGCAAAATGTTTGTCTGAAAAAAACAACAACAACATTGTTTAAAGTTCAAATATTTGGCATGTCGCATTGTCTACCAAACTTCTACACAAGGTACACAATTACACAACGGTAAGAAACGGCATCGGGATAACGTTCGTGTCATTGACTTGAATTGAAAACATATTTTAAACATTCTATCCACAAACATTTTAATATTTATAGCTTACATATTAGGTACGTAGCTGAACGAACCTTGTTCTACGAATGTTAAATACATCATTCGCCGATGTTGAATTTAGCCGAGCACATTATGTCTTTTTTTCAGATGATCTTTTATAAGAAAAGATATTTCTCAAGAAACCTTTATTTCAGCTTCATGGTATATATGAATTATGTCGCACGTCTCATTGTCTACTAAAACTTAGCACAAGGTAAATAAAACTCGCCTCTGGGTAAAAAAAAATGGCATCGCATTGGTGTCACGTTTAATACAGCGAAATACAACACATTCAAAGTTTAAAAGAATCGTTAAAAATTGAAAACTCCTTCGTAGGAGAAAGAAAGAATCTTTAAAGCCAGGATTTTTGTATCTAATCTTGTTATTTTACAAATGCTATGCCCTTGATGTTTTGCCCATTTTTGCGTCGACTTAAATTTGAAAAACTCTTTTGAACTACATGGCATAGAAATAGCTGTACCTCATAGACAGCTTATCAAATGGCGTGTAGCAACTGTGAATATCTTAAACAAAAATCATAACCCAGGCCATGGCCATGGATAATTAACCTTCTCCAGATGTAACTTCTGTAACTATTTAACATACACTGAACAAAAGTTCTAACCGATCACCCTGAGTGTTCGCTTATGTATGAAAAAGAATAATACCAATAGATCCGACTTTTATTTTATTTCGAAGAGAATGAACACAGTAAGAATAATAAATTTATAACATTTTCTATTTCAAATACTTTATCGATATTTAAAAAAAAATAAATGTTTATAAACAGCCACTCACCTGTCTTATAGAGGCTCCAGCATTCAACATTCAAACTGCTTTGGCACAATCCTGCATCGACATCCGTGCCATATTTTATGTTTTTTCACTTATAAAGTTAACAAGGATTTATGCAATGTAAAATTTAATACTCACCACGCTCTGCACGAACATTTCGTGCCAAAATGTGTAAACCGCGCCCTGTCTCGCGCGTGAGTGCATGGAACCGTATTAAATTATCTTTCATTCCACAAATCGGTAGAAAATGACACAAAAATCACCTCTGCAAAATTTTATAAGGATCCATTGACCCGTTATAAAATAATCAAAATTTAAAAAGTGATCGGTTAGAACTTTTGTTAAGTGTAGACCTTTGCACAGGAAAATTTCTTTGTAAAATCTTCTCTTCACTTAAGACAAGGCTTATAACCTAGATATTTAGCATAAAGCATTGCTAGGCAAACGCTCAAATATAATAATGTCATTAACTTATTCAATGTTAGTCTTGTCATATATGTAAAAGTGTGTTCTCTTTTGGCGTCATTTAAAAAAGGTCAAAGGTCAATTATTTGATATGTAAGTTTTGATCATATGCAAAAATACAAGGGATAAAACACTGTAAGAGAAGTCCCTTCTTGCTGAGGGGTTACCTTAAGTAGGCGAGTCATAAGAATTGTAGCCACCGTTTTTCCCTGTGTGAGCCTTTGAGGCAACTATATGGGTTCGAATTATTTGAGTATATACATCTAATAGCTCTTGCAGGTGAGGTTGGCCTGGCCCCTGGTGTTGCTTTGAAGATTGTAACAACAAAGGTTAGCCAAAATCATCTTTGCTGATTCTGTGTCATATGACCTATACTGTATTGTTGCGCCGTAAAACCAGGCAAAGAAAAAAAAAACTACATGTATACATCAAGTTTAATAGCAGTAACAACCCTGTATCTAGGAAAAGCCTAAACAATCAAAATGTGAGTCAGTATTTGCTGTGGAAGGTTATAAAAGTAAAGGTTATTCCGAACACTTATACATACATGCACGTACGTTAAGTGGGAAGGTTATAATAAAACATAGTAGGGTTATTCCGAACATCTATACATACGCACGTACCTTTGACTGTATTTAGAATTTGAAGAACAAGTCTATGTATAATACATGTACTTTATTAAATAATTATCTCCGATTAAGTATCATTAAGAGAAAACAAAACAAAAACAAAATAACAAAATATTATATCATGATAATGACACAAAAGTTGGCATGACTTTAACAAGTAGAAAAATATATTAAATATGCATATTATATAGAAACCGTAATGAGAACCAGTACAATGAATATCACTTTATGACAAATGGTAACTTTTTTCGTCCGGGTTATAACTTATTACATTACAGTTTATGTCGCTGTAACTAGAAACCAAACTTAAACCATACTTCAATGAAGATTACAATTGAAGATCTTCTACAGAATGTAAACTAAGGAAGGATATGATGTTTTGAGAACATACACAAGATGAATGTATTTAAATGAAATGTTGAATCTACATTTTGAGAAAATGTTTGCTGAAAGACGGATAGGTGGGTCAGAAAGAAAGGCTTTAACATGAAAGATTGCACTGATGTATTATGATTATGTAAAGATAGATTTATAACGTTAGAAGGTAAAGAAATAAGGAAATTGTCAAAAATAAAGAAAAAAAGAAAAAACATACAAGACATGAATAATGATTTGAGACGCTGTTTGATACAGACAAAAATACGAGTATATAAAAGGACTGAGTCGGGAACTTTAAAAAGTGTAATCACTGTCTTGTGTTATAAGTCCACTTCAGTTACAGTGTAGGAAATGTTCATTTTAGGCACTGCCGTATCAAAAAACAAGCAGCAACAATAGCAACATAATAAACCCAGAAAAAAGCATTAAGTATTTGTGCAAAAACAATATTCTTTTCATTCCACCAAAGTTTCTCTCTTAGCCGTTTCGAAATAATATGTATTTTAAAATGTTTTAAATTTCTTATACTCATTATTTCCTCCCATATAAACCCTACTTGTACATAATGATACACACAACGTTGTAACTGATTATACAAATTGTCCTTCCATAAACAGTTTTGTATAGGTTGTATCCTCCTGCCTCGTTTTCAGATCTTTCCTCTTCCCGGAGTTTCTGTCTTCTACCATTAGCTTCAACATCTTGTCAAGTTTTTCGTTCATCTCCACTTGTAACTTCCCCATGTTCCAGCTTGATGCTTCCAAACTGTGATCGGTTGATCCGGGAAGTTTTTGACTCCTTACACTGCGCATCCACAAGAATTGATTGAGCTTCCGGCCCGGGAAGTTTTCTTGAGTATTGCCATGGAAAGACCGTTTGAATTTTTGTTCAAACAAATGTTGAGGAAAGTGGCTGGCCGACTGTTTTCTTTTGAAACGTTTCAGTCATTTCTGAAAATAAAGATATCACTCATTTCTGTATCAATATGTTTCAGGTTTTCTATTCCGTTGATATTATTTTTCAAAATCCATAGCTTTTTTAATTACTGTAAATACAACCTCTGAAAACTTCGTCTGGGAATTTACTATGTGGCGTATTGATCAAACCAATTTTTTATTAAAAAAATCAACGACTGATAAAAAACTAGAAATGTGTCATCATGCCACGGATGCCCCCGCATGCAGCCAAAATTTCAGATGGTGCATTAATTATTTTTTTCATTTTAAGTTCAAAGCCCTTAAAACTTTTCAATGTTAACACAAACCATTTTCATACAATGTTCAAGGCACTGAACCTTTTAAAAATAGCATATTGCATATTTGTAGCCAAAATAATGGCTAAAAGTATGAGTGCTGAAACTGAAAGTCCAAAATTTTTCCAACATTCAGGAAAGATAAGTTTGTCTAAAATCATTGAATCACGACCAAATTCAAACTTAAACTGCTTATTCCTAAGATGTATCTATATTATTTTTAAAGTGAAAGGGACATAATTCTGCCAAAAAATCATCAAACCATGACCAAATTCCAACTTGACCTGCCCATTCCTTTGACATATACATATGTCAAATTTAAGTTGAATATGTAACACTGTTGGGTAGATAATGAACAGAAACTGTAAATTTCATATTATTTTCAAAGTGAAAGGGGCATTACTCTGCCAAAAAATCATTGAACCATGACCAAATTCGAACTTGGCCTGGGCATTCCAAAAACATATCCATATGTCAAATTTGAGTTGAATGTGATGTTTAATTGGGTAGATAATGAACAGAAACTGTAAATTTCATATAGTTTTTCAAAGTGAAAGGGGCATAACTCTGCCAAAAGTCATTGAACCATAACCAAATTTGAACTTGACCTGCGCATTCCTTTGACGCATCCATATGCCAAGTTTGAGTTGAATGTGTTGTACCGTTGGGGAGATAATGACCGGAAACTGAAAATTTCATATTATTTTCAAAATAAAAGGGGCATAACTCTGCCAAAAATCATCGAACCATGACCAAATTTAAACTTGACCTGTATTTTCTCATGACGTATCCATATTTTAAGTTTGAGTTGAATGTGTTGTACTGTTGGGGAGATAATGAACAGAAACTGAAAATTTCATATTATTTTCAAAGTAAAAGGGGCACAACTCTGCCAAAAATCATCGTACCATGACCAAATTCGAACTTGACCTGTATTTTCTCGTGACATATCCATATGTCAAATTTGAGTTGAATGTGTGCAACTGTTCTTAAGATAATTGAAAACGGAAACTGGATGATGACGGAATTTGACAGAAGGACGGAAGGATGGAAGGACGGAAGGACATAATGACGGAACAGGGGTAACACTATATGCCCCGGCCATTACCATGGCGGGGGCAAAAAAAATTTACGACTTTTTTTAATCAAATTTAATGTTGGAATGTTGGCAAGGTCATTCGAAAAATGACCCAGGGGGTCGATTTTTAGCATGGTCCAAAATCTAATTTTACAAACCGGCATCCCAGTATTATATTCGTCTTATCTATTTGATTGGTAACTTTTGATTTAAAGAAAAAATACAAATATTAGACTATCAATGTAAAACATAGACTATAAAGCTAATATTAACTGAAAAGAAGGCGGGGACCTATTTGTAATTCCCACATTTGAGGGTGTTCAGAAATTAAATACTTATGTGTCACATTAAGAATATTCTATTATATCGTTGATCGTTCTGAAGCGAGCAACTTAATAATAATCTTGCATTATGCGATCCAATACATATAAGATTGGATTGTTTTCACAATAAACATGTCATATAATGAAAGTATAAAATGTTACTGTTCATGATGATCATTTGCTAAGTTGTTTTATTACCTTTCGATGTTTGAGCATCAAATTCTTGTATAATGTTCATCAATTTGTCAGCATCGTTTTCCTCCGACTGTGTTATCCACTGAGCAAGAATTTTGGCGCACATATCGTTGTCAAGGATATCCGAATGCTCAATGTCGTCTGCATCTTTTTTCCTGCCGCCACGGGACTGTATTGTAGATTCGTTAACCCCGACAACCTCGGCAAATTCTTGCCAAGTAAGATGATCTATATAACAACGAAATGTTTTGTAATTAAAATCTCATACTGAACAATTATTATAAATATGACAATCCCAAAATTTTCTCAAAATATTTCCATTTGATTTTGCATTCCTAGAAATTTTCGAATATGTTACTTGTAAAGTATGGAAAGGTTTGATTTTTTTTAAATTAAAACTATAAATGGTATTCCAAGGTTTTGCCGGCCCGCGTAAGGCCTATTCGCAGTGAATAATTGCTAAATATTTTACGAAATCAAATGATCAAAAAAAAGGCAAACGGAAATTGATTGCTAAAATAGAACAGAACGCTTACCGAATTTATTCACCAGTCTATAAATAGCGACACGTATAGCCCATGGTAGTTCGTCTGCAACTCGCACAATTCTCTTCCGGTCTATGACATGCTGGCGCATGCGTTCAATACCTTCTCTAATCACACGGTCGTCCGTACGGTCTGAGGTCAACGATTCGAGCATCTGTTTAACGTGACCTAGTTTGTTGGACGTGCTTTTGTCGAGCTTATCAAGCATTTTTGGTACACATGTTGAGAGATTCCCTCATCTCCTTCAGCAAAATCTAAAATTACACAGAAACGCTTGCTTTTTGTTATTAAAGCGATGCAAGAACGCTGTTTTTGTTATGTAAGTGATGCATGAACGCTGCTTTTGTTATTAAAATGATGCGAAAACGCGCCTTTTTTGTTATTAAAGTGATAGAAGACCGGTGATTTTTGTTATAAAAGTGAGGCAAGACCGCGGCTTTTTGTTATCAAAGTGATGCAAAAACGCTGCGTTTTGTAATCAGTTATGCAAAAACGATGCTTTTTGTAATTAGTGATGAAAGAACGCTGCTTTTTGTAATGAGTGATGCAAGAACGCCGAAAAGAGCATACATCTAATGTCACTTATATAGTCCTTATGGGTTAATTAAATAATAAATTTTGGGCAGCGAGAAAATAAGATAATAATGAATGATATTTCAGCATGAACATTTTGTAGATATAAATTATATTTGATTGCTTTACATAAAAAACCCTCAATTGGATAAAACCAATAACATGCATTCACCACTCGTTGCCATATCAGTGAAAAGGAACAAATATGTACACATAGACCTTATCCAAATTAACAACTCTTTATAAATGGTTGACATCTGCAACAAAGTTAAGGCTACCATGACGGTAGACCATATTCAGCATAATATTTACAGGATGTAGGATCCCGCAACCATGTACTCCTAAAATGCCGACTGTAATGCAGAGTCCTTTACCTCTTGCATCCAAGTGATACTGGCTTCATAAATAACATCATAAAAAACCTTCAAGTGCACAAGTGATGCTACATGTAAATCTTGTAAGATACATGTATAATCAGTAAGTATAACGGTTTAATAAGGAGTCAGACTGCTTGATTTTGATGTTGGACATATCAAAGATCCATTATGCCTCAGAAATTCTACCGATTTTATTTCTTAATAACTTTTTACTTTTCGTATCTTCTTACAATTTTCCCAAAGTAATATTTATTTGTCATAAACATTGACTATCTTTTCAAATTAGCTCTGTTTAAAATAGGTTTTAATAATAGGGGATAAATATTTTTAAAATGGAAGTCAAAATAATATTTTTGTACTTTGTTTTAAAATTTTTCTCTCTTTAATTACACGTCAAAACCCTTTAAACCTACTTCCGTCAAATTTTAAACCCTCTAACAAAGCTCAAAAACCCTATTCAAAAAACTTTTAAAAAAACCCTCAAAAATTTCTAAAAAAAATTTTTTTAAAAACTTTTTGAGGCATATGTGCCCCTTTTAAAAGAAAAAGTTGACCCCTTGAAACGTGGTTTGGGAAACCCCTTTTATTAAAAAAAACTGTATCCATTGAACCCCCTTTAAAAATGAAAATAAAGTTTACAAATTACTGCGGCATACCTTACGTTGGTTTTTTCAAAAATTTAATCTCAGCGTTTTTTCTTGTCTCTCGTTGTTTTCCTGCACAGCCGCTGTTAAGTTTTCCTGTCAGTTTCTTCAAGATCTCCTATTTACATCATCAGTACCAGAGTTTTGGACCAGAGTGGTTGAATTCCCCGAACATGGACGTTCCGGCATGCCCCACTGATGTAAATATTGAACGGGTTACATTTCAGGATGTTTTGAAAGTCGAAAGGTGGCATTTCATTATTTTCCTGTAAAAGAAGATCGGAAAAAATAGGGATAGATTTGATTTTAAAGATGCTTGTAAAAAATGGTGCAAACTGGTAGTCATTTCTGTTATGCTTTTCCCGCCCCCCCCCAAAAAAAACATCGGCCAATAATCGAGGAAATGCGGTTATCTTCCCGGAAAAGTTATTTTTCGAGATCTGTCCCGGGTATTGTCATTATTGATGTAGGTCTGGACTAAAAATGTCTTTAAAATTTTTCAAATCTTTTTCTCATTTCGTTTTCCTCTTATTACAAAATGACTTTAAAAAGAACAGTGTTACAATACTTGTCAATCGAATCGAGCCCGCACCATAAAAAAGATCGATATTTAAATTGTTTCACTTGATCTATGTAAACATTTCAAACTTTAAAGTTTTTAAGGTTTTTTTCCCAAGCCCAAATTTTGTAAGTGGATCTGCAAATTAAAAATACAAAAAACCAACTTTTAATTGCAATTTTAAGGACGGTGCCTTTAATCCCGAATCATCAAGTAAAAATTTTGAGTGAGGGACCCTTTCGTTTAATTGTCAAAATTGATAATATAAATCATGAAACTTGGGGGAAAGTTTTTTAAATTTTAAATACATATAAACTTGCCCTTTTATGATTTATCATCATCAAAACATGGGTTAACCAAACAAAACAAACACTTAAAATTTTTAATAACAAACCACGTTTATTTGAAAATTATGATAATTTTTAAACATCATTATTATCATCACCATTACAAAGAACAACAATATTTGAAGTAATAATAACAACAACATACATATATATGTTTGAGCAAATTCTGAGACAGGGCAATTTTGGCTATTAGTAAACCAAGCCCCTTAAATCATATGATCAGTTGATCAGCATCCGAATTACCATCATCACCATCATCATCACCATCATCATTATTAACAACAAAGACACATAAAGTAATAATAACAACACCATCATTTATCTAATCATTATGATCATTTGATCATCATCGTCATCGTCGTCGCCATCATCATCATCATCATCACTACCAACACCACCACCATCATAATTATCATCACCATCATCATCACCATCATCAACAACAATAACAACATCATTTTGATTAACAACAGAAATATCAACACTATAAGTTATTATAATTCACCATAATTAAGTTAATCATTATGTTTATTTGAGCATTCCTTAACATCATTTACTGGGACTTTTTTTGGGGTTTTTCAAACCCTAAAAAAAAAATGCGTTCATGTGCATGGGTTTTTTAAAAATTTTTGAAAACTTGAAATTTCAAAATATAATTCAGGGGTCTGCAAAAAGCTTCCTTTTTTTTTGCCCTAAATATAAATTGGTTTTTAAAAATGCAGTGTCCTCTTTAAAATGGGGGAATAGGGATTTTAACTTAAAATTTAAAAAAGGCCTTGGGGAAAGAACCGTTAAGGCATTTTTTAAATTACAACAAATGTGACCCTCGGGGTTTTTTTATATTTAGCCATTACCTATACCAAAAAAAATTGGGGACTTAAGAAAAAAATGACTAAATTAAAAGGGAATGGTTTTTATTACCGGGGAAATAAGGAGACAGAAAACGAAATTTTTTATAAAAAAAAAATCTAACATTTTCATTAAAATCAAACTATTGGGGGTCTTTTTTATCGAGTCACAAATGCAAGGTTAACTACAGCCGGGTTTATAAAATTGTGAAAATTTCAAAATTTTTTTGTACTTGATGACTTTAAATGGATCATTGTTAAAATTGGGTCACAGGGCATTTAATAATTTATATAATATAAATTTCCCGATATTGTTACTTACACGTTTTTTAAAGACCCCTTTTAAAAACTAGGATTTTAAGGGGTGTAATTTTAATACTTTAATTAAATTCAATTTTAAATTTAAGAAGTTGAATAAAAATCATTTGGGGCAAAATTAAATTTTTTTTTCAATTTAATTAAATTTAAAATTTAGTAATGAACCTAACGAATATAAATTTTTATTTTTCCAAAACCCAAAATAAAGAAAAGTTTAAAAAGCAAAAAAATGGGTTTTTATTGGGCGCACATAAAGTGGAAGGCTTTAAAATTTGTTTTAACTTTGTCCCAAAATTTGGCACGTTTTCAGCTTAAATGACTCACTTTAAAAAATATGCACGGCCTGCAATCAATTTTTTCGGATCGCCCAAAATCAGCACGGGGATGTGAGGGATATTTTATGCAAAAGAAGATGTTGAAAAATAAATGAGGAAAAAAACTAAATGTACCCTTTTTCGTACTTGCAAATCTTTTTTTATCCGAGTATAATCTTCCCTTTAAAAATTTCCGTAACTACGTTTAGACCCCTTTACTTTCTGGCTTGAAAAAATAAAATTCCCCAAACGTGGGAAATTGCCAAAACGAATGCCAGGCGAAAAGTTGGTGACGTTCCCGAAAAGCCCCCGGGGTAATGGTTTACGTTGGGGAAATATCAAAGACGTCATCTTCATCAAAGGTCGTTTGCACGCCAATTTCACGAAATTTATCCATAATCTTGTCTCATTGTTCATACCTTTAGTTACAACAGAACAAAAAATCTAAATTGTTTTTGTTTATAAGCAACGAAAAGCATACAATGAATGTTGAAATAATGAAAAAAGTCGTATACTTTACTTCAAGAATAGCATTGATGCATTTTATGTGCATTTATACCTGCAGAAGATCTCGGACCTGTAACCCCCACCCCCCCACCTCTTACCCGTGCGGGCTCAGGCTATAAATGATTCCTTTTACTTCTGCATTGTTTCAATGAAACGAAGAAGAAGTGCATGAACTTTATTTGCGGCAGTCAATAAAATTATTGTTTAACCCGGGTTAAACTATTTTCAGATTGATAATTATCATTAATAATACAAAACTAGTAGTCATAATGAAAAAATCATTTCCCACATACAAGGGGGGTTTTTTCATTTTCGTAAAGTCAGACAAAGCCTTTTTAGGGTTTTACTTTTAATTTGATTTTTACAAAACCTAAAAAGGGGTCTTTTTCAAATTGGGCATTTTAACCCGGAAAAACCTTTCTTAAAAGGGAATTTCCCCTTTATTTCAATCTCAAAAATTTTGGAACTTTTTTTAAAAAAATTTTTCCCTTCAAATTTTGTTTTGGGAATTTTTAACAACGACCAAAGATCAGTGAAAGTTTTTGGAGCTATTGGTTTGCGCAAAAAATCCACCCTTTGGGGTTGATCGGTTGCAGTTTTTTAAATTTGGAAAAAAATAAATTGATTTCTTTGTAGTAAACCCCAAATTTGGGGGCATATTTGGATTGATTTTTGCCAATTTAAACATTGAAAACATGCATTTCAACAAAATACATTTTGTTAAAAACGACAAAAACATTAACTGATAGTAGCAATACCAAGT